CAGATATACCTATGATTATAGGTATGTTTTCTAATAAAAGCCACAGTTCTGGTTCATGGGACAAACACTGGTTAAAATTTGCTACTCTTTCAACGATACTGAGCAAATAATGATTGTCTACCATGTACCAAGCACTACTGCAAAGATTCAGCAGTTATAAAACACAAAGTCTTGCTTTCATGGCTCTTATATTCTAGGCAGACAGAACAAAAAATAATTATATAATAAGTTGGATTGTGATAAGTTTTCTGAAAAAAAAAAGTAGGACAGAGAATAGGTAATGCCTAGGGGGTGCTTGCAATTTTAACAAGGGTTTTCAGAACACTGGAACCACTGTGAAGGTGGTGACATCTGAGTAAATAGCTGGTGGAAATGAGGGAGAAAGCCATGTGAATATCTGGGGCAAGAACTTTTCAGGCAGAGGGAACACCTAGTGCAAAGGTGCACATAGGCTGTCACAAGCAGTAAGGAGTATTACTGTAAGCATCTGCCAGGGACTAAAATTCAGGCAAGGCTTTTTTTGTTGTTGTTGCTATAAGGAATCCACCTACAAGAGAGTTTAATCAGCTTAAAATGAGCATCAGTGCAGATCTGTTTAGTGTTCTCTCTCAGCCATGACCTCATTGCTAATACTGACAGCCTGGACTGCCTCTTAGATTTGGATGAACCTTGGATGTTCAGCCTGGCAAACTTGGATGAAACCAGAAAAGAGAGGTTTTGGTAGCTCCGTAGGCCTGTTGGTTCTTTACCTCATTTTTCTCTCCACATGGGGCTGCATATTAATCACATGTAGCCAGTGATTCCAAGTTTTAATTTAATCTAAAATACATCCATTACCATATATGATCTAAGAAGTAAATATAATAGAATTCTGCCTCAAGTGAGCTAATGGTGGACAGCCAATACATAAGGCTATATGAACAAAGGTGGAAATGCCACCAAACTGTTTGTTCAATGTCTTTACTTCTAGTCAGGGCAACATAGTAAAGAGGTCATTACTAATGTTAAGTCTTAAATTAATTTCCAGAGATTGTCACGCTTACATTCAACAAATAGAAATAATCTGCACTGGTCCTTTCTCTCCCATAACTAGCAAAGTAGTAGAACAGTGCTCTGCTAGTCAAGCAATCTGCCCCTCCTTCTAAGGGTTTTCCAATTTACGGAGAATATTTTCCTAAAGCTTCTGTTATGCCCTGGGAGCCCACTCTCATCCTTGATAAGAATAAACATTATTAGGAACTCAACAAATGGAGATTTGAAAGCAGGGTTTAGTTTATTTTAGCCTACCTTTGATTTGTCTGGAGACTGAATTCCTCACACATGAAGATCAGTACTTATTTAACAAGAGTAAAGTTTTAAGAGAGGACCAAGATTTCTTTAGCAAAGAGAAGCTGGTTGAACATCCAAATAGGTAATAATGACTTACAAATAACTGAAAACAGGATTTTAAGATGATAGTTGTCTGTGTGGGTTATTTAGATTTGCTTTAGATGTCTGATGTAATTGGCTATGGTAAATTTGAACAGACACAGAAAGCCTTTAAAATATGGCTACGTATGTGGTTTTAGATCCAAACCCAGTATTGATCATTATGACTGTGGCTAGGTCTAAATTTAGAATTATTGTAATCTGATGTGTTGAGGTTGTTCCATACTTATATTTAGGAGTGGCCAGAGAGGACATTTCTATAATGAAACTATGCTGTAATCAAATCAACAACTTAGAAATTTACTGGCCTTTTAACTTCACATATTTAATCTGTTCACGTTTTTGTTCTTGATATTCTGAAAAAGTCACTGGAAAGAAGCTACTTATTCTTTTTCCTCATAAAAGAACGCAATTTCCTAATCAATGAAGAGTCTAGATGGAAAAACTAACACAATAGATCAATTACACGAAATTTGCAAGAGTAAGGTTTTTACTTTATTTAAATTAAAATAGGTCATTCTGGAAAGAAAAAAAATACACAATGGGCTGCCTTCACTTGTAAAATTTCTTTTGAACTAATGAGAACTTATCTCACATAAGAGATTTGTGGACTGTTGTAAATACTCTACCAATCATGTATTCCACAGCTTTAAGCTGTGATGTGCTAGAACAGAGGGCTTACTCACAGACTCATGTTAGTTTACCTAGGTCAGGCTCTTTGCTCCCAACTTACTAGCTGAGTAATCTCAGGCAAGACATTTAACTTTTTTGTGACTTAGCTGAGTACATAGTGGGAGTAATAGTATCTACCTTTTGCATTTTTGGAGGGCTAAATGAGTTAACACATAAAACATTCTTATACCAGTGGTTGGCACATGATGAATGCTCATTAAATGCTAGTTACTAGAATTATTCTAGTGTATGATAAAGTGAGGAACTACCACCAATCTTAATGGGAAGTACTGGATGCAATTCTTGTATTTTATTGGGTTTCATTTACTTTACAGAAACTAGTAGGCTTTTTGGTCTTAGAGTACAAGGAAGCAGAGAGGGATGGCTCCTCTAAGCGAAACTAACCCCTGCATAGAGTGCCTGAAATCACAGGAAGTTTGTCAGTGTGGGCAGACACCAAGAGCAGACCAATCTAATAACCCACTTCTCTCTTTTTTTTATCTCATGGAAATTAATGGAGAGTATCTGATGTAGACCATTAAATTAATTGTTCCTGTATAAGGTTTAAAACCTTGGCTTACCATTGGGTAAACTTAGGCTTTTGTTGGTCATGCAAATTCTCTGTATCTCTTCAGTTTCACTGCAGAATTAAAACCAAATTTACCACAGTGGATTGTTACAGCGAGTCTGGCATTTATTTCTCCCAAGAGGCCATCTGCTTCTGGGGAAGGGCAACAGGGTGCCCTCCGTTAATATATCTAACTGATGGTGTAATGATGCACAATTCCTGGTTAACCCTTGCAATTCACAGTTATTGTCTTGGAACATAAGATGGTATTCTCTTTTCACTGCGTAACTACAAATGTTAGGATAGACTTTTATAAAACTATTGGCCTACTCTTCAATCCTTCTAGACTTTGCTTTTGATGCCCTTAAGTTCTTTTAACTAGTCTACTAGCCACAAAAGCTCCGATTACTAAAGTTAGAGGGGAAGGGATATTCTTCTGGTTCCAACTTCTAAAACGTCCCGCCAGAACAGGTGTACTTGCAAAGTAAAATTAGCCTTAAGGGTCCTCTGTCTCAAGTTGTACAACTGGCCCAGGAGGGTGGAGCCCTCGCGCCCTGTTTACCGGCGTGTGTATCTGTGGGTGTCGCGGCACGCGCAAGGACACACACGGACCCACTTTCTTAGGTCAGCCCAGTCAAACCCTCCGTCTTATCCCAAGGGCTGTCAACTCTCACGCCTCTTTCTGCGCCCTCAGCCAGTACCCCCCTTCACTCTTCCACTCCCTCACGCCCCGCCTCCAAAGTAGGAGGTCCCACTCTAACTGGCAAGTGCTCCTCTTACTCCTACTCTGCAACCAATCACTCGAGTTCTGGTGGAGAGCGGCAGAGCCAATGGAAATGCTCGTTGCGGCAGCTGCCGGGTCCAAGCGCCGGTAGGCGGTGCCGGGGGCGGGGTGCGGGTGGGGAATCAGTTGCCATTTGGAGTGAGGAGCAGGCGGAGGCGGCGGCGGCGGCGTTTGCGGTGGCGCGGGATCCGCGGAGAGCCAGACACCTCGAGGCCCTTTCCTCCTGCCCAGATCCCCAGAAACAGGGGTCCGGGCCCTCCCTGCAGTTGCCAGGCGATCCCGCGCGTGCAGCCCTGCGAGGCAGCGAGCGGCCCCCGAGGCTGCGTGATCCGGACTGTTGCCCCTCTCCCCTGTCAGCGCGATGCCCGGGGCGGCGGCGGCGGCTCTGGGCTCCTCGCGGCCCCGGCCGTGACCGCCACACCGAGCCCGGCCCGGCGGTTGGGGCCGTTGGGCGTTTGTTTTCGCAGCCTTCCCCTCCCCCCTCGCCGAGGCCGCGGGGGTGCGCGTTGGGAAGGGGGAGCCAAGAGACTCCTCCTCCTCCCCGATACCCCCGCCCCTCCCCCTTACACACTCGCACGCACTATCGCGCCGGCTCCCACACGCTCGCGCGCCGCCCGCTCCGCGCCTCGGTGTCGGCCGGCGTCGTCCCGGGCCCGCGGAGCCACCATGTCCACTGCCTCCTCCTCCAGTTCCTCTCAGACCCCTCATCCCCCGCCGCAGAGGATGCGGCGCAGCGCCGCGGGCTCCCCGCCCGCCGCCCCCTCCGCCGGTAGCGGGAACGGAGCGGGCGGCGGCAGCGTGGGTTGCGCCCCGGCTGCGGGAGCCGGCCGGCTGCTGCAGCCCATCCGCGCCACGGTGCCCTACCAGCTCCTGCGGGGCAGCCAGCACAGTCCCACGCGCCCACCCGCCGCCGCCGCCGCCGCCTCGCTGGGTAACCTCCCGGGGCCCGGCGCGGCCCGCGGCCCCAGTCCG